ATTCCACCCGGGCTTGTGTCAGCAGACTCGCACATGTCTAATTCCATAAAGAGCCACCAGCTCCTGCTGCGGCTGTCAGTGTTCTCCTGGTTAAAAGGACAGGTGTCTGCCAAGGAAGGCGGGAACCTCCTTTGGAATGGAAAATGTGACCCCCTTCCATCCAAAGTATTGTAACGTTGAAATTACAGGATTTTCAGACAGGAGATACAGGATTTACAGTTCTTTCCTAGTGTGTACACAAACAAGGCAAACCAACAACAACAACAACTGCAACAAGAACCAACAGAAACAGAAACAGAAGGAGCCTTCTCTCAGCCGCGGGCCCTTTCTCTTCGGTGCAGTTCCCGTCACATCCAGCAGGGGCGCTGGTGGCTCCCGGCGGGCAGGGCAAGTGCGCTGATTCCTCCGCGCCTGCAGGGGGCGCTGTGCCGCGGGCTCGGCCGCCGGTCCCACGCTGTGATGATGGAAGAGATGGAAAAGGGGCTTCCTTTGGAAACTCACGGGAAGCAGGCGGTCTCAGTGCCACTCGGAAAGGTGAACGGACTGCAGCAGGAACCTCGGAGCAACAGGCTGGAACAGCAGAGGCAGGCCCATCCCGGAGTGACAAAGTGTAGCAAAGATTCCGGAGCCGTGCCAGAAGCCGCGCAGTGTTCGGGCAGGCACGGAGTGTCGAATTAATGCGCAGCAATAAAGCCCAAATCAGCGGCAGAAAACAGCACAGCTGGGCAGTGGCTGCCAGGCTCCTGCAAGCAGCAGCTACAAGCAGCTGTGAGAGGCGATCTTCGGGAAGACGGAAGCAGTGAGGGTCCACTTCCCAGTGAGGTTGGATGTTGGAAAGGTCCCAGTTCAACAGCTGCTCTTGCGAGCAGAAGCTGACCCACCGAAAGGAGAAAAGCAGTGCAGGACAGAATTCCACGGCCACAGCGAATTCACCCCACAGCAGCAGCAAACCCGGCCGTTCCTCTCTGCCCCAAGAGTGAAACAGAGCGAGGAGCTGAGCCCAGCCCCTCACCCCCAGGCAAAATCTCACCGTATGTCTACACTTCCCAAGGGAACCCTCCTACTCAGAGACAGCAACAAACTGCACCCTTCCCCCTACTCTTTTGTCTCTCTTAAGTATCCGTTGTTCCCATCTCTTAGACAACAAATGGGAGGAGATTCCCTGAGAGAAAGAAATGGGGCGGACAAAAAAATCCCAAGCTCCAGTAAGTGTCCATTCCAACCCCTGGCCGATGCCACAGCTCCCTGTGCCCTCTGTCATGCAAAGTGTGGGCAGTTCACAGCCTCTGGTCCCGGGCTCCCACCAGCCACAGCTCAATCTGCAGCTGGCACTGCAGCTGCACACCCAGCTCCCTGCCCCAAATGCATTCCTCAGCACCTGCCTGCCCCGGGGACTGCACAGCCTCAGACTGCAAAGAACAGCGGCCTAAAGAAAGCAATAAAGAGCCTTCCTACATGGGCAGGTCCTAAAAGGACCAGGGGCAATGGTGCTACAGTGGCAGAGAGTAACTTCAGATGAGATCATATGGAGGAATTCTTGACTGTGAGGCTGCTGAGATACTGGCAGAGGTTATGCAGAGAAGAGAAGCTGTAGATGCCTGTTTTTCATGCAGGTAGGGTCAGCACAGAAGACACAAACACCAGCTTGAGGAATAAATGTAATTTACTGTAAGTCAAGCTGGCAAAGAATTGCAAAACGATAAGTAAGCAGGATATCAAATCAATGGCAAAGAATTGGAAAAAGAGAAGCCACTGTCAGAGTGAAGGACTGGAGAACCACTCCCAGCAACTGGGAAATCCTGCAGGTGCCTTCCCCTACAGGCAACAGGCTTTCTGACTGCACTATGAGAGGGCCATGTTTTTATACTTGTTATAAGCACATATTATATTATTGGCTTTTCTGAAATATTAAAATAAATGCTATATGTATAATGTTGGGAAACTTTACTACATGAATATAGTTTCTTTTTGTTCTGTTATTACCAAAACTTAGAAATTGTAGTGTGATAAGTATATACTTTTGTTGAACTATAACATGGTGATGTAAGGAGCTTTTGTTCATGTAACTATCTCAGAGAATGGTAAAATATAATCAAAAAATTATTCACATTCTTAGATTTAACTATCTGGATGAAGACAAGAATGATGAACACCAAAACTCCACGGAAGGAATCTATTGATCGCTGTTATCAGGGAGTGCGCCAACAAGAATAAGCCACAAGGCAAAAAATAAAAAGTGTTGATTTTCTGCTTGGGGGGGTGGGGGGGGTGGGTGATTTTTAATAATGCATAAAGGTCTATGAATATGCAACAGGTTAATGCAATTGTGAAATGTTACATAGTGATTTGTGTCATTATGCAAAACACACCATGGGTTCAGTATAAGCAAGAATATGAACTTGAAGTAAATCATGGACACGAGACAAAAGAATATATAATGATTTCATTAAATTTGTTAAAATAACTTGGCTGTAAATTGCTGATTTTTTACTGCTATGCATATTTTGCCACTATAATTATGAATTGTATCCACTTTTTATGTATAAGGAAAATGCGGGCTTGTACAAACATAAAAAAGCTTGTTACTGCTAAGAGTGTAACCTGACTACATGTTTGAGCCTTGTCCAGACCTGGTGGGGGTTTGTAGCCTGCTTGGGAACTAGCCAACATATACGGGCTTGCTCAGACCTGTACCCCAGCACAGTAGGCATGACACGGCCCACCAAGAAAGCGCTTATAAAGGGGAGAGTGACCAGGGGAAGGACAGAAGTGTGGGTGGAGCGCAGAGTCCACAAGTCCCCAGCGCTGCCTGCCCGTTTCTTATCAACAAATTAATAAATTGCCTTATTGATTGATCAATTTGATTTTGGCGGGTAATTTATAACCAGGGGGTCAGAGCTAGATTATCTCCATGGTCCCTTCCATCCCAAACCATTCCATGGCTCACTGATTCACTGTTCCCCCTCCCCCAGTGGGCCCCAGTTGCACAGACCCCCACGGAGCCCAGAACACGGAACCCAGCCCTCTGTGACATCAGCCCCGGCGCCGAGGGCACCACGGGCAGCGCAGCTGCTGCGGGCATTGCGGCTGTGGCTGTGCTGCTGCACGGAGCCCTCAGTGCTTGCAGCTGACACGTGCCTCTGGCAGCCATGGATGGGCTCGGCCTCCTCGTCCTGCTCACCGTGGCCGGGCTGGCCCACAGCATACAGTACCCCTGCGGGTAAGTGGCCGCAGGCCCTGGGAGGGAGCCACGGCAACACTTGGGGCCTTCCCTGGAGGGGCCCGCCTGTCCCCCATGGCCGGGCCACAGCTTCCCACCCGCCATGGGGAAGCCTCAGCTCCTTGCCAGCAGCCAGGTGCTGGCACGGACAGACGCACACGCCATGGGCTTCCCTGGCCTGCTGTGCGTGCAAGCCCTTGTGGGGAGGGCAGAGGGCTGAGCTTCAGCCTGAGCCACAGCAGGCCATGAAGCAACAAGGACATCACTTTGTGCTTGCAGAGGGAGCTGCGGGCTCCGAGCTCCGCCACCTGTCTACAGCCCCATAATTTATTCCTATGGCAATGTGGCTTATGACTACGGCTTGACACGCATCGTGGGTGGCGCAGATGCCATGGAAGCATCCTGGCCCTGGATGGTCAGCATCCAACAACACTGGGGAGGACTGATTAAGCATTGGTGTGGAGGGTCTCTCATCACTGCAGACTGGGTCCTCACAGCAGCTCACTGCTTCGACAAGATTGAGTAAGGAGGAGCAGGGAACGGGGACATCCCCACAACACCACCAGGTGCCCCGTCAGCAGCACCACCACCTATTCCCATCCCCTTCCCTCTCAGGCAGCCCAGCTGCCACACTGCTCAAGAGTAGCCTGGGCTTGTGCCAAGGCTTCCTAGCAGCTTCCAACCCGACATTTCCCCAGCCTAAGGTGTGCAAGGGCACTCACACCTGCCAAAACACGGCTCCCTCTCTTCCTTACTAAGCAGAGCTCTGGCAACTGCTGAGCTGCTGAGGCACATGGGTCTGCTCGCTCTCAGCCCTCTCTCCATCTCCTTTCCAGGAACATCAGCTCGCTTTATATGGTGATTGGAGCCACCAAGTTAAATCAGCCGGGCCCTGGGGCCGTAGTGCGCACTATCAAGAACTTGGTGATACACCGGCAATACAAGCGTATCGACTATAGATACGATATTGCCCTGATAGAATTGGACCAACCTGTCCAGTGCAGCCCCTACATCCAGCTGGCCTGTGTGGCTCACCCCACCCTACAAATCTCGGAGCTCAACAACTGCTGGATTGCTGGATGGGGTGTCACTAGCAAAAGATGTGAGTTCCAACAGTGACTCCTGGGCCAGCTCATCACACTGGGGAGAGGGTTTGGGCTTCCCCGCAGCAGAGGTCAAAGTCAGGGTGCAGGATTTACACCTCTGCAGAGATGGGCCTGGCCTAATTCCCAGAGGCAGGCAGCAGAGACACAGCACCTCAGCGCCTCTGCAGAGGGAAAGAGAAACCCTAGGGAAATGGATTCCCCCCCAAGAGAGATGAGGAGAACTGGCATGGTTCTGCTGGGAGCTTATTCCTTTCTCTGCTCACAGCTCAGATGAAAGGTGCTCACCTGCAGGAGGCCAAGGTCCACCTCATTGATCTGCAGCTCTGCAACAGCAGTGACTGGTACGCAGGGGAAATCCACCCCTACAACTTGTGTGCTGGTTACCCAGAGGGCAACATCGACTCCTGCCAGGTAGGAGCATGCCATGAGCCACTCAGCCCCCAGCAGCACCAGCAGCC